ATGAAAGTGCAACATTTAATTCCTTAATTATACCTTCATTGCAATGTCATGCTGTTTTGATGTACTGTACAAACACTAAAAGCTTTTGTTTAAATGTACATTTAAAACGAATGAGTTTAATAATGTTCATGGATAGTAAGGGTTTTCCCCTGTTGCAAGTTAATGAGAGATGAAAACAGTAATAAGGGTTTTAATTAACCAGATTGTTTTTTTATAAACACAATAAAAATGCTAGACTAAAAATGGCTTAACGGTAATGTCTCTTGTTCATGTATACAATTTATTGACATTTTGCATATCTATTTGCTTTTCATTCCCGTTTTTTCAAACTCCTCTTCTGATTTTTAACTTTCTTTTAAAAGAAGTAGGTCAGCTAGGAACTTAGGTACAGAGGCTGCCAATATTAGGAGGTTAAGAATAAGAACTTAAAAGCCGCCTGGTTCAGGCCAGTGGACCATCTAGTTCAGGATTCTTTTCTCACAGTGGCCAACCAGATGCCTGTGGGAAACCAGCAAGCAGGATCTGCACTCTTCCCTCCTTTGACAGTAGAGATAGAACGGCTGCTCTTATGCCATATCAGAAACTGCACTTGAAATTCCCCTCAGAAAAACTCCTCATGGATTCAGATAACTAGATGCACAGTTCTGTGGATCCTGGTCTTCTTTATGAAACCTTAATGTGTGTACAGTGGTACCTCGGGTTACAGATGCTTCCATCACTAGTCTATGCCTCTCTACCCGGAAATCTCATTAAGTTCAATGGGACTTACTCACTTATTTTTGTTTGTTAGATTTACACCAACATGTTCCATTTTAAAATGCCCAATGTGGGAAAGAACAATAAAATCCACAATAGAAACTAACCAATCCACATAACGTAACAAGCATGATATGCTTGTTATGATAAAACCATATAGAAATAGGGTAAGAGCAGATAAAAAATGGAAACAAAATGGCAGCCAGCAGCCGAAAGAACAAATCACCTCATTAGTCCTGTTTAAATGAAAAGGGACTCGCCTGTGTAGATAAACAAGTCCCCCTTCATCTGCCCATCTTATTAGAGAAGATGGTCCTTTAGGTAGTATGGTTCCATTGAATTCACTATGACTTACTTCCAAGTTTAAATGCATCAGATTGGACTATACATAATGTTGTTTGCATCTGTCTGTCTCTAGAGACAATGGACTGCACCTTCGGGGGTGAAGTCAAACCACTGTGTTAGCAGCACCAAAGTGACTTTCTTGGGGTGAAGCCTGGGCAGTGTGAATGGAGGTCCTGGGCTGCCCAGACAATCAAACCCCACTTTTGGCCTCACTGATGGTCCAAAGGAAAGCAGAGCAATATATTGGCACCAGCTTGACTGCAGGAGTTGCTGGAAGGAAGCATACAAGATGCCATCCAACCATCTTAGGAACTCCACTCAGGATTTGTGTAGGGTTTACTCCTTAGCCTTTTCTTCTCCTGAAGGGATCCCACAAGGCAGCAGAGGCTTAGGATCAGAGTTTTCCTTCCCAGGGTTGACAATCTCCATCTGCCCCCCACTTCCATCTACAGCACATTCAGAAACCGTCTTCTTGACCCTTGGACCCAATGTTGGTCTCATCTGCTCAATCCTTCAGAGCCTGGCTTTGCAAACAGGGGAAGTCCCTAACTCACCAAGAGACCCATAGGCTAACCTCACCTGGTTTAGCTGGCCAGTCGAAGCCATTCCTGGGATGTGGCTGCTGTCACATGACTTTTAGGAGCCACAGATGAGAGTTGAGTGCAGGGTGGGGACCAAAGGTGGACAAACTACCCCAGAAGGAATATGATGTGTCCCCCACCAGAGGTAATACCCCAATTTGTTGCAAATGAGCAGGTCAGCAATATTATAACATTTCTTGCTGCTCCCCTGTGGAATTCCATCATTTTCAGTGAGACTTACTCCCAAGTAAGTATTCCTAGGATGGCAGCCTTCGTTGATTTTGCACAGCCTTTCATACAGAACTAGCAAATCTCCCTTAATGTGAGCTTGTTTCATTCACGACCTTAAAACTCCCATCATATTACAGCAGGCTTGCCGTTAGGTGGAATTAATATGGTAAGTGGGCTTTTAAAGTGTAGGAATAGGACTTGAAGAGATTATAATGGCTTGCTGTGTACTACTGGTGAGAAACATGTTAATAAAGGAAGAGGAAGAGCGGGGGAGTGAAAGGAAAGGAAATGAGGTGTGAAAGGAAACGCACCATTTGTGTGTATTGGAAATATATGCAAAGTAGCCTTTTACATTATGACTTGTATGTGTAAGTTATTTCTCCCAAGGTCGGTCAAAGATATGCATACATAGTCCTTGCATTAGGATTAATTTATAGCAAACTGCAGAGAGCAAAGCCTCACTCTATACAGAGCAAGTATCGGTCGCAAAGGCACCTCTGCTTCCCTTACAGGGTCAGGGGGAGCTTCTTGGTATTCCCCTTTCATCACTGCTGTCTTTCTGCACAGACCTTCTGCCCTTTATGCTCTTCAGCACAGTAAGGTTTAAGTATACCTGAAAGAGGAAGTGAGATGTATTTATTCAGAAGTCCTCTCTGTTCACACTGGATATTGGAATCAGGCCTTTTCCATCCCACCATAGACATGAATGGAGTTGAAATGGGAATATCCAACCATGCCTGTCCCCACTTTGACCAGTTAATGGAGGATGTTTATATTCTGTGTTACTTATATCTGATAAGTAAAATGGTAGTGCACTGTTGCTTTTTAAATAGCTACAGTCTTCTGTGCTGATATTTTTAGGGCATTATCCACCATGATTCCAACATCTCTTCTTCTTCTGAGTGACAGAAGTTATTTCACAATCTGACAGTGTGACACAGCAGCTGAAATTGTCTCTTCCAAGGGGCACTTGATAATACTTTCGTTTAGACACAAATGAATTTCAGAAATCATTCATCCGCACTGTCTATGGTTATTGGGATGTGTGTAAAGGGGATGCTCAGTGCACCATTCACACCATAGTGACATGTGGACTATGAACGATATGGCATAAGATTTATTTGAATCCATGCTTTCTTCATGCTGTTTGAGCTTGGGAGTTGTGAATAATCAATACACTGTGCTTTGTAGTGAACTGTTGAAAAAAGCTAGGGATGTGTGAAAATCTTTTAAGGGAAAAAGTGTACTTCACAGCAACAGGAGTCCCATGATAGAAAAGTGTAAAATTCAGCATACTGTTGTCATTCTAGGTTTTTTTTCCTTTTGAGTAAGGGAGACAGTATTTGCATTTCTACAAGGAATCTTTTTGGCCTTTTCCTCACGTATCTCCAACGTACAGAAGTTGCACAAACTAACACTGCAAACCTATGCATGCCTCCTCAGAAGTAGGTCCTGTTTAGGACTGTTGTTTAAATGTTACTTTTCCTGTGGTGGCAAATTACACAATAGGCACAAGGTTATGGCCCTTCTAAGTTAACCACCCATTCATGCAGTCCTCACTTACAGAGATCCGGGCAGAGGATATTGTTACACGACACCCCAATTTCTGAGCAGTGCAAGATTCCAGGGGTATCAGGTACACCTAGCAGGGTCTGTGTTTCTTTTTGGACAATGAGGCACAGCAGAGACTATGACATCTTTATGATATATGGTTTATTTACACATACATACAACCTGAGCCTAGAGTACAGAGCATTCACATGCACCCCCACCCCCCGTTTGCGAAACTGACACTTTTCTCTGTTTGGTTACATCATTCCCCACTGCAAACCTGGAACTTCCCTCCTCCTCTCTGGCATCCTCCATTGCTAACTATTCAGAGTGTAGGGTGCAGGATGGGGCACATAGTCTTAGTCTTGCCGATGGCTTCTTTCTCTGTCTTTTGTTAGGACAATGACTTGGCCATTCCAGTGATTTCCTCTTGATGGTTCTTTTTGATGGTCTGGAACAGAGTCAGCAGAGAGGCAGGCAGACAAAGAGCAAAATGGAAGCATTTTAGGATGCCTCTCTGTGTGAGCAATCCTCTCAGTAAGTTCCAATCAGCAACGGTACCTCTTAACCTGGCAAATGATGGACAAGGGCTACCAATAAGGAACACACTGCAACCAAGTATAATCACAGCTACCTTATTAGATCATTTAAATGGTTAACTGCTTATTGAAACATAATTTTAAACTTCAATCCATAACTGTTCTTCACTTTTGCAGAATGCTAACGGTAAACCAAATACAAACAATGCATATTTTTTTACAGTGAAGCTTCTGAGTAGACATGTATACACATTTTGCAGTTAATCTTTAAGGTGCCATAAGATTCTCTCCCGCTGCCCAAATACACACAAACACACACACAGAGATAGAGATCTTTTAAAGGCAATACCCAGTTGAAATGTCTTTGAAAGCAGTTTTGTCTGGAGGAGCAGCCTCCCTCACTATTCCTGCAATAGGGCTACCTTCTTTCCTCCTGTGCATTTAACACTAGGACAACAGGCAGGAATTCAACAGGTAATCAGGAATAATAACGGGGAGGGAAATATTACTTCCTTAGAAGCTTCCCTGTACAGTGTGTGTATTTAGGACGCAATCCCGCCGCCACTCCTTTCCCTAATTATTTTGAAATAATACTGCATTGCCTTCTTATGACCTTTGACCCCGGAAGGCGAGACCGGCGCGCTTAGCCCTCATCCCCACTCCGTAACTCCGCCCCCTCGCGTCCTCTTATTAATATTAATCAAGGAATGCAGCAGCCGTTTTTGTGCATATACGTCATTACTAGAATACGGCTGGCCAACGCATGCGTACAACGCGCGGTGAGCTCATCGCCTCAGCTACACACTTTGCATCCCTCCGCCCCGCGCTTTTCAGTATCGGATTCACGTCACCATAGAGATGCCCCCCCCCCGGTTCTATCTAGCCTTTGACGGACCTCTATGACTGTCGGCGGGAGCGTCGGCCAGGGAAGAGACTCGGGCAGCACATGCGTGATGGTCCCTAGAAGAGCCAGGAACAAGAGGCGCATGCTCACCGCATGCCCCTGTGCTTTGGTCCACGGCGCATGTGCAGCACCGCCCCCCCCACTTCAGTCTTTCCTAGCGAGCGGCGAGTGCGCCTGCGCGCCGAGGTTCCATTCTTACCAAGCCCAAGCTGCAGCTTTATCGGCAACACAGGGGCGGAGAAGAGCATCAGCCATGCATTGCAGCAGCAGGAGCGGCAGCAGCGGGGATTAGAGGCTTCTGCTGCTCCCATTCCTCTGAATGCCTCTTTTAGGACGTGCAGGAGTCCAAATATCTTTGCGCCCGCCTCCAGTGTCGGCGCCACAGCCTCCGCCGCCAGGTATTCACACCCGCCCGCCCTTGCACTGTCATGTTGCCCGGGATCTGCATGGGCAGGGGGCTTGGAGGGGGAGGGGAGGGAGGGGGAGGGCGGTGTGCGGGTGGGGAGCGCGAAGGGAGAGCATTGTCTGGAGCTGCAGAGCTGGCTGGATGGCGAGCGGGGATGATGAGCGAGAGGGATCCTCTGTAGGTGAAAGACTATGCCAGGGTGGGCGGGACAAAATTGCTTGGGCTTCGCATCTTGGCTCCTTTCTTTATTTTTCAGAGGTCGCGCTTTCAGTCTTCTCCGCATGTAGGATAGGGGAAAGATCTCCAGCGCCGGCACAATGGACGAGCATGATAGTTGTGGGGGGGGGGGGACGGGGGGACTCTGGTAAGAAAGTGACCTGCCAGAGGGATATCTCCCTCTGCCCTATTCCCATCTCTTTGAGATTTATATTCGAACAAAGCAAATTCGTAAGGATTAGTGCAGGGCGGGTGCATCTATATAGGCTGGGAAGGGTGGATTGGGTGACCTATGGAGGAGCCTCTGAATTTCTCCATGTGTTTGTAATCTACATTGAGAGAAAGAAAGACCAAAGAAATGCAGCTTTTGTTTTATCCCCACCTCTCCCTATTGTGCTTAAATGTGAGATTAAGGCAAGCCTGTGCTGCCATATAAAAGGATGTATTTCTGTTTCCACCTTAGTCCTAGATATCTTTCCCTAACTGGCTCTTTGGAGCTTTTTGTTTGTCCTTGTTTCAGTTTCTTTCTCCAAAATGCGTAGGTATCTTTGTCCTATTGTTGCAGCCTTTTTCTGTGTGTGCTAGGTATGTGGATTAATAAATGTGGTGTTAGCATTGATCGATGATTCCCAGTTTTATAAACATATGAAATGAAATGAAACTTCCTAATGCCTTCAGTGGGCACAGCACAGGGGTCAATTCTCAGAGCGTTCATCTCAAAACTTGATCAATTCAGTTATGTGGTTATCAGTAGTGCCTAAATGAAGATGTTGCAATAAAAGAATTTGCAAAAAAGTTTAGTTTGGTGAGAGGAACATGGGGATGATTGTGTCTCTTATTGGGCCTCTGGTGTTTCTGTCACAGAAACTACTTCCACTGTTTTGGGGCCTTTACAGATGATCTGCTTCACTTGCTATGCAATTGGGAGAACTATACCTCTCTCAGGAAGGTAGATGTTTGATCTCTCAGCTGGTGTGACTGTGTATATATGTAGCTTTTTATAGTTGTCAGTTTTGGCTCCCTTTTTTTGTCTATCATCCTTGAGCCATAATGTTTCCAAAATAAGATCTCTTGACTGTCTCCACTCCCCCCATCAACTATAGTAGTGAACACGGTGTCACAACTGTACAGTACAATATACAGAAATTACAATAGCATCTGTTATATAGACCTTTTTTACATCTTTATGGATGAGAAAGATGGCTTCCTCTGCCATGCCATGTTATATGTGTTTTGAAATGATTTTTGTTTCAACTCTGTAAGAGAATAAGTGCTTCTTCAAAGTACCACTCGAACGATAAACACAAGAGATGCTACTGTCTTCCAATGTCATACTATTTAAATTAATCTAAGAACATTGTGCTCCTTTTTCTTCAGTGCATATAACTCCTTATTCTTTAAAAAGAACAAACCTATGGTTCAATGGTGGTGATGGTGGAGTTCCTGTTGAGGCTTACAGCTACCTAGTTCCACAGCAGTCCTGGGTCAGCAAGGCTAGCCCGCTTCTCAGATAAAAGATAGCTGCCCTTTCCCCTGCAGTTCATATGGATTGGATAGCTTATTATTGCCTTTGAACTTGTTCTTGCAGAAGTATCCTATAATCTTACCTACACATCATTGAGTTCATAGATGGAGGGCAGACCATTCTTATTTGTCTCCTCTTAAGTGCAGGGATGGGGAGCTGTAGGCCCCCACATGTTGCTGTACTACAACTCCTGTCATCCCTGACCGTTGACCATGCTTCTAGTTACAGGTAGGTAGCCGTGTTGGTCTGCCGTAGTAAAAAAAACCCCCAATAATAATAATAATAATAAAATTCCTTCCAGTAGCACCTTAGAGACCAACTAAGTTAGTTATTGGTGTGAGCCTTTGTGTGCATGCACACTTTGAAAGCTCATATCAATAACTAACTTAGTTAGTGTCTAAGGTGCTACTGGAAGGAAATATTTTATTTTATTTTGTTGACCATGCTGGCAGAGGCTGATGGGAGTTGGTATCCAACAACATCTGGAGGGCTACAGGTTCCCACTCGCTGCCCTCGTGGTACAATTCCAGGCACTTGTTTCCCTCCTCCCCCTCCCAGCCAGGTTTATCTGTGGGCCAGCCCTTGAAAAGAGAAAGGGGTGGGGGGAAAACAGATGGGGTGCAAAGAGAGCTGTGGGAGTGTGAGGAGATAACTGATATGCAGGAGGAGGAGGAAACAGAAGGTTATGAATTAGGATGCCGAGAGAAGAGAGTGAGTGTATGCTAGACATGGTGCACAGTGGAGGAATCTGAGCAGCATGGGTTGTAGATAGGTGGAGAGAGGGAAGAGGTGAATAGAGAATGGGTTGTAGTGTGTCACAAATAGTGTGTGTATGTAGTTGAAGCAATGATGCAGATTTCTTGCTATATTAGCAATGTAGAAGTGGCTCTCAGAGTGACTTGAGTCATGCTCCTCTGCCACAAAGCCTATAAAGTGGCTGGGCACACATTGACTGATCATCTGTGTGTGGGAGAGGGTGGAGAGGTTGAAGACGCAGTGGTGGTCAGCCACCCTACAAGAAACACCCTCTACTCCTTTCATTCATGTTAACTGGGATGGGTGAATGAGGTTGGTATACATGGGCAGGAGGAATCTGGGAGACCCAAAGAGCCCTGCATTTCCCCTCCCCAAATATTTCAGGTGTTGGGGGTCAAAATGTGGAAGAGTATAGGGAAGGGTAGATTATCTGGAATGACTTGTATCTGTAATTCCTGAAAGGAACAACAGTTTTGTCCTCCACCAATTCTATGTCCTGCAGCAGGTATGTCAACTTTTGGGGCTGTGTGTGTAGGAGTGGGTTTAAAATCCTTTCTCGGGTTGGGCAAGGGGCTTCGTTTATAAAAAAACAACTCTGCATGTGTAAATGTTAGCGTGACACTACTCTTCCCAGCCTGTTTAGGGAGGAGCCTCACCACAATTGCACTCTCCTTTGTATTTACAGTGGACCCTCTGGATACAAACTTAATTTATCCCGGAGGTCTGTACTTACCCTGAAAAGTCCGTATCTGGAGGAGTTGCTTCTGCGCATGCACGTGGTGTGATAGAGCACTTATGCGCGTGCAGCGATACCCGGAAGTATACACTTCCGGGTTTGCCGCATTTGTAACTCAAAATTACATCACCTGAAGGTAACGTAACTCAAGGTACCACTGTATTTCTTGCAGACCTCTCCTAATCATGTTTACTTAGAACCAATGTGCTTTGATTCAAGTAGGCTTTAGTGTCTGATATGTTTAAGATTGCTGTCTTAGGGGTTTGTTGTGGCAGAAGTACTTTCCCCCTCTTATCTTTCTTTTCCTGCAAGAATTGAAGGTGGTAGGGTAGAGATTATTCTTTTCATGAGCACATGAAACATAGGGAGTTAGACCCAGGATTCATCTAACCCAGTGGTTCTCAATTGGTGGTCTGCGGACCCCAGGGGGTCCACTTAAACCACCCAGGGGATCCATGGCACCATTCACCTAACAAATACTATCACAGAGATATCAAAATTTTCAAAAGTAGGGGATCTGCAGTAGTTAGCCAACTGGGAACCACCGATCTAGCCCATTATGGTTGATCCTGGAGGTTGGGAATCTGTGACCTCCAGATGTTAGTGAACTCCAACTCCCATCAGTCCTCATCAGCATGGCCAATAGTCAAGAATAGATGGGAGTTATAGTCCACCACCATCTGGATCTTTTGCCCACAAGGCATGTTTATGTCACCGAACTGTGGCCTGTCATCTTATTGTGGAACATGCATCGTGACCATGATCATGAGAATTTCCACTCAAAGCCCCCTTGATTTTTCAAATTTGGTTATATAGTGTTATATGAGCCATAATTGCTGCAGAGTGGGACAAAGCCGTGTTGAGTAAGCTGTGGGGCCGGAACTAGTGCATTTGATGATTTGACACTTCTGAATGAATGTGTATCTTTGTGTTTCATGGAGAAGTCTGAAGGATGGAGGAAAGGCATGAGGTATGTTTACTCGAAACACATGGTGGGTTCAGGTGGCCCCAGCATTCCATGGCTCCTTGTTCCTAGTTGGTGAATACTTAATTATGTATCTTTGAGTGATATATTTGCTTGGTTATGTTCATGTCAAGTTCTGGAATCTTTCATGAACCCTTTCTTGGCTCAAAATCTGTCCCAAATATTGCCTTTTTTGTTACAGTAAACTTGATTAATTGTATTGTGATGTTAGTGTAAAAAAAGACATCTAGCAAAGGTAGCTACCAAAAATAAACATTCTAAAACAAGTCCCATTCTAGCACATGTGGTAGAGATACTCTGGAAGAGTGTTCATAGTGGGGAGACAACTGGAAACACCCACCCTTGAGTTGCGGTTCAGCAGGGATTGGGAACCTATGGCCCTCCCCTCATCCCTATTCTATTAGCCATACTGACTGTAGCTGATGGGAGTTGGTTGTCCAGTGAGATCTGGAGTGCCATAAATTCTCCATCCCTACTGTCAAGCATGTAAGCAAAGGTAATATGTTTTTATTCGCTATAAGTAATATTGGAACATAATCAATTTTAAAAAAATGTTACTTGTGATAGTCAACCCTTCCAGTTACTATAGTCATACCTTGGATACCAAACGCCTTGTGAGTTGAACGTTTTGGCTCCCAAACGCCGCAAACCTGGAAGTGAGTGTTCCGCCAATCGGAAGCTGCACCTTGGTTTCTGAACCTTTTTGGAAGTCAAATGGACTTCCGGAATGGATTCTGTTGGACTTCCGAGGTACCACTATATTAGGCTTTTCAGTGTTTCTGTACCTTTGGTTGTCATACTGGTATTTCTCCTCAGATTGACAATATTACATTGAATTCATATGAATTTAATCTCTTTTATATAGTATATCCAGTGTCCCACTAGCATTTATCAGGACTGATATGTAATGGAGACATAGTTCGTAATGCAGTAGGATCATCATGCGTGAAAGAAGTCAGTGGAGGGAGGGATGGGGAATATAAGGAATGAGCTGTCCTTCCTGGGAAGGACATATATAGGATGACGATGATCTCTAGAAGAGTAGCTAGCTTTCCGGTACAATCCTAGACCTGTATACTCAGAAGTAAGTCCTGTTGCGTTCAGTGGGACTTACCGGTAAATGAGCATTGCAGACTGTGTCTGTTGCAGCACAAAGAACAAAATAATCTTATGATGACCTTTGAGGCAGGGATGAGGGGGACTGGACACCTAAAAATGTTGGACTCCAGCTCCCATCAACTTCTGCCAGAATGGCAAAAAGTCTGTGATGAAGGGAACTGTAGTCCAGCTGTAGTCCAGCCACAGATTCCTAATTCTTGCTTTAAAGGCTAACAAATTATTGTGGGATGAAGTTTCTAAGAGAGGAAGCCTACTATTTATACTCATTGATTTATTACATTTTAAGCAGTTCAGGGTAGTGTCCACAGTCTGTGTTTTCCCCTCCCTGCCACTTTATCTTCACAACAGCTATCCTACGATAAGGATAAGTGTGTGCAATCCTATACGTGTCTGCTCAGAAATAAGCTCTGCTGAGTTAAGGGGGAAATGCTTCTAGGTTCATAGTCTTAAGTGAGTGATTGGGCCACGGTGATCCCCAATTCAGGTCTGTCACGCCGCCCACTACATCATGATGGCTCCTACTTCATCCAATGCATGAGTTCATAGAAGATGACACCCAAGCGTGCTATGGGTTGGGTTATCTTATACCAAGTGAGATTTAAAAATGAAAAGTCAGTTCAGCCTCTGATGGTTCTGTGCAAAACACACACATAGACAAGATCAGCATAGTCGACCGTTTCATGGCGATTGTGATTTTGCTGATAACAGCACAGCTACAAAGATTGTATTAACACTTGTATGTAGTGGTTTCACCAGCTTACTGGCATGGGTTCTAATAGATGTACTAATTCATTCTAGATGTACTTCAAAAACTTTTGCTAAAATGGATAGCGAGCAATGATTTATCAATTCTCATTCTAAGGTAGGAAACTATTCCCATTTTACAAGTGGAGAAGCTGAGGCTGCAATGCTGTGCCTGCTTCCCTGGAGTGCAGTGGTGCTTGCTTTTGAATAAACACATATGCCAGAGCTGTGCCACATGGGACCCTCCCTATGTTGTGGACTCCCAACCCTCATCAGCACCAACTAGCATGGCTTCCAGGTCGATCCGCACAGGAAGTGACAGTTGAACTCCTAGCATGGCCAATGATCAGGGATGACCGGGTAGTAGTACAACAGCATCTGGATGGTACTATGTTGGCTACTCCTGGTATATAATATTAATATGCAAGACGTGCAGAACATCTTGTCCAAGGCCATGCAGTAAGTCCATGGGTGCACAGTGGTGTCATTTTGCCTACAGAATGCTACCTGAGGTGTGATTGGACCCTGGCCTGGTGCAGTCGGCCCCTCCCTAGCTATATATCTCATTGAGGGTGAAAGGCAACATAGTGAACCTTCAAATTTCTATTTAAAATGAAATGTGGGAACATTGTGCACCAGCTCAAGGCCCCAGGGGTAGCACTCTGGTGTGTATAGTCTCCCTCCTCTAAATCTTTTACCCTGTCCATTGTTTTGTGCTACTTTTCAACAACTAAGGAAACTGACTTGGTTCGTTACAGCAGAAATTGAACAGGCACTAAAACGCCTGGGTCTTTCTCACAGGTAAGTGTGCATAGGAATTTGGCTGCAGTCTTGTGTACACTTTCCTGGAAGTAAGGCCCATTAAACTCAGTGAGCTCTACTTATGCGTAGATTGCTATGAGCTTGTACTGTACATAAATATAGTGCATTTCAGGTGAATGGTTTTAGAGCTGGGGCACAAAATACAGTACAAGGCCTCTTTATACTCCAGGCTGCCTAAATAGGGCTTGAGACACAGATGAAATGGTTGAACATTAAAGCATATAGCTCAAATGCAGTGGACCCAAATAGACCTTTTTTTGCAAACTGACCAGTAATACACTTTGAAAATGTGAGACAGTGAGGCAAAATTACAGCAGTGATGAGTAAGTACTCCAGAGCAAATGGAAACGATTGTATGGAACAATCCTGGCCTGACTGTAGTGGCTGCCAGTTAATTTCTGGGCCAAAGTGCTGATGCTGACATGTAAAGTCTTACATGGGTCAGGACCTCATTGCCTTAAGGACCGCCTCTCCCCATATGAACTAACCCGGACCCTGTGCTTGTCATCCAAGGCCCTTCTCTCTCCCTACCTTCCCCAAGCAGTTTGGAGGGTGACAACACAAGAACGGGCCTTTTCTGTGGTGGCTCCCTGTCTGTGGAACATTCTCCCTAGAGAGGCTCACCTGGTGCCATCATTACATGTCTTTAGGCACCAGGTGAAAACATTTCTCTTTACCCAGGCCTTTGGCCATTAAATAATCAATGGCCTGTTAAAAGTGTGTGCGGTGGTGGGGCTGCTGTTAAGATTATTTTATTATTATGCTGTGCATTTGGGTTTGTTTTTTTTGAAATTTGCTCCATAAATTATGTTCTTAACAGGTCCATTCAGCGGGGGTGGGGGGCAGAAGCTGGGTGCGTTTGCCCCAGGCCTTGGAGGGCAAAGCTGGCCAAGGGGTTACCGCCAGGGGCTTGCTGGACTTACACTGGCATGCCAAGAACAAGCCAGTGGTCCTCAGACAAACTGCACGGGTTCTTAATGTTGAACACAGCCCTGAGATCTTTGGATAGAGGGTGGTATATGAATTGAATGAATAAATAACAACAACAATTGTGTGAAACAACATGCTTGTTATTGGGGTTGATAGCAGATTTTACTGTTGTAGAAATATCAAAAAGATCAACATTTTAAATGGTTATCTAGATGGACAGAATAATCACATGTTCAAAGGAAAGCTATATTTCAGCCCCCTGTCCGTGCATTTAATGGTGAAGAATAGTAGCCTGGAGTCTTTCTCTCCTGTTCAGTGTTCCAGTCAGGTTCTTATGTGTTCATCTATCACACTGGTATCTAAGGGTCTGCTTCGTTGCCTAGCACTTTTACGGTGTTGGGGGTATTTGTCTGTCTAGCAGACTAATATATGGACAGCCTGCAAAGTCATCTTTTAAACCTCTTAAATCTGCTGTTTACAAGGGAGTGATTGCCCAGTGGGGAGATTACACAGAAAGTTGCTAACTAATTCTCATTTTTTAAAGTGGCAGGACCTTTGAGGCCTGCTTATAAGTCTTTGACAAATTTGTGATAACCACAGTGCGGCCAGAGCTTATTTTTGTTTGTGACATTACTTAATGTGTATGGAGTACTGGTACTACTTTTTTCTTTTTCTTTCTTTTTTGCTGCCCAGGGTAGTAGTGACGCCTCATATTTTAGTAGAAAAAGCACTGGGTACAACTGTTGAACAATTAAATTAGCCGAGCCCAGCATGCAGTTTAGTAGTCTGTGTTATAATTTATCAATCTCTTTTTAAATTGTCATGAGGCATCACTGTGGTTATTTGCTCAAGTGCGCACAAATAATACAGGATGGCTGCTTAAGTCTTGGGAAGCCAGGAAGCTTGCCTGGAAAATGCTTGAGCGGTTTAACTCCTGGAGAAGTCAGTTTTGATAGCCCTGCCTAAAGGGTTCCCTGAACTCTTGAAGTACCATATATACTCGTGTATAAGCTGACCCAAATATAAGCCGAGGCACCTAATTTTAGGGGGAAAAAACCGGGAAAACTTATTGACTCGAGTATAAGCCAGTTCACCACACCACAAACCTGGTGGTGGCGGCAGCGGAGGAGGAAGAACAAGCAGCCCGAAAGGGTTCCTCCTCTGCCGCTGCTGACAGCGGCAAAGGAGGAGGAAGGAGCAGCCCGACAGGGCTCCTTTCTCGCGGCTCATCCCTCCGCTGCCGCTGCCTCACTCGAGTATAAGCCGAGGGAGGCTTTTTCAGCATTAAAAATATGCTTAAAAAGGCAGCTTATATTTGAGTATATACGGTGGTCTGCAGACATGTTTATAGGGATGTGTATCTCAAGCAAGTGTTACCTCGGGTTACATACGCTTCAGGTTACAGACTCCACAAACCCAGAAATAGTACCTCGGGTTAAGAACTTTGCTTCAGGATGAGAACAGAAATTGTTCTCCAGTGGCGCGGCAGCAGCGGGAGGTCCTATTAGCTAAAGTAGTGCTTCAGGTTAAGAGCAGTTTCAGGTTAAGAATGGACCTCCAGAACAAATGTAACCCGAGGTACCACTGTACAGTCGTACCTTGGTTGAGAAACGCCTTGCGACTCGAAAGTTTTGGCTCCCAAATGCCACAAACCCGGAAGTCAGTGTTCCAGTTTGCGAACGCTCTTTGGAACCTGAACATCTGGTGTGGCTTCCACAACTTCCGATTGGTCGCAGGAGCTTCCTGCAGCCAATCAGAAGCCGCGTCTTGGTTTCCAAACATTTTGAAAGTCAAACGGACTTCCAGAACGGATTCTGTTCAACTTCCGAGGTACCACTGTATAGGATTAGCTGATGTAGACTCCAAATTGGGAACAAGGGCAGCCCTTCGAGAAGCATGTGTGCATGATGCAGTTTCCATCAGGTCTCCTCTTTATTCAGTGGAACTTTGTTGCTTTAAAAAACAAATTCTTAGCAAAGAGATGATGCACGCGGAACTACACGGAGTATAACAAAGCAAAATGTAAAGTGGGAGAAATATGCTAACAATAGGCCTGCCATCGGGTCAGAAGACACTCCCTGAATGGCAGCATTATTGTTAGTTGATTTCCCTGGCCACTTTTTCTCCTTCTTTGAATATAAATTGATACGCAAGTAAGTCATTCTTTGGAGTAAGCCTGCTGATTTCAGCAGGCCTACTCTGAGCATGGCTTGCTTGGATATTGCTCATATACTTGGCAAAATGTGAGCTTCCAGCAGCCCTTGGAGGATTGTTTTGAAAAACTGCCAGGTGCCATTGCTACCTCAAGCCTCTCTGGGAATTTCCAGGCTGCAACCTTGGTTTTCTCTCTGTGTGTTTTGAGAAGATGGTTGCTCTGGATTTTTCAGGCATTGTTTAGTTTCTAAAAAACAACAACCCAGAGATACAGGAGTTCTGGGTTGCCTTCTGTTTTCTACATATGTGGGGATAGGCTATGGTTACTGAATAATGAGGGGGAACTCTGCTTTCCTTATTCTCAGCTACTTCATTATTTTAGTACCACTTCAAATAATTCAAGACAAAGTCGTGGCTTAAATTAAAAACTAATTTTCTCACATACAGCCTTTTTAGGGGGTGGCGGCAATGTGAACTATGAAAATTTGTCTCTGCTGAGCTCCACCCAATGTCGTTTGCAGGATGGTAATACTTAGTTCCACTTGTTCACGCTAATCTATGGTGCAGATAATTAGGTGTCGGATATATGTTACAGATTTAAGCGCTACTGCAGCTGTGACACTAGCAACTAGGAAGTAATTACCATGCATGGAGCTATTTCAAGTCGCTCACTCCTTGTGCATAAGGTATGCTCCTCCAATAGGTCTCATTTTGTAAAAATTCAATTATGTTGCGAAAAGCCATGCACCTTCCTTATGCAGATTTGCTTAGCTGAATAAATCCACACAGGTTGTAAAATTTTGCATTCATAATGCATAGTTGTAGGCTTGAAAACCATGGGGTGGGAATGGGCCTGTGGGAGCCTCAAGCTCATGCGTTCCCCCTTCTTCCCTCCTCTGGTGTGACCATGAGGAAGAGACTGGAAGACTTAGCTTCTCTTTTAGATTAACTGTAAATTCTTATATCCAAACTGACAAATTGTGGCTAACCCTAACTATGCTTTCGTTGAAATAAGGCAAACTAGAAACAATGGATTATGAAGCTAGGCTAGTTCAACAAGCCATTGTTGAGACTAACCACAGGAACCTAATGATGATAATATTTTTTTATTTATACCCTGCCCATCTGGCTAGGTTTCCCCAGCCACTCTGGGCAGCTCCCAACAGCATTAAAAGCACAAGAAACCATCAAACATTAAAAACTTCCCTAAACAGGGCTGCCTTCAGATATCTTCTAAAAGTCAGATAGTTTTTTATTTCTTTGACATCTGATGGGAGGGCATTCCACAGGGCAGGTGCCACTACCAGGAAGGCCCCCTGCCTGGTTCCCTGTAACCTCACTTCTCGCAGTGAGGGAACTGCCAGAAGGCCCTTGGAGGTGGACCTCAGTGTCCAGGCTGAATGATGGGGATGGAGACATTCCTTCAGGTATACTGGGCTGAGGCCATTTAGGGCTTTAAAGGTCAGCACCAACACTTTGAATTGTGCTCGGAAACGTCCTGGGAGCCAATGTAGGTCTTTCAGGTGTTGTATGGTATTGGCGGCCACTCCCAGTCACCAGTCTAGCTGATGCAGTTAGTAAAAAATGAAAGCGATCTCCTTGTAGCTGTGCTGGGAGAGGAGAGGGAAAGCTCATACAGGATCATTTCAGTAATGATAAACCATGGCTCATTATCATGTCTAAACACAGCCATTGATCTTGGTTGTACATCATGAATTAGCAATATATGCAAAAGCTGGAATGAGCCCAAGCGAAAACTCATATTCATGCGCTTCCTCCTCCAATGCAACTGGGAAAAGGTAACATATTGACATCAGGGCTGTCAGTGTCTACTAACTAGTCATGTTGGCTATATATGACATCCAATATTAGAAATAGTATGCCTCTGAATATCAGTTTCCAGAAGGTACGAGCAGGAAGGTTATGTTGCACTCATGTCCTGCTTGTGGGCTCCCCAGAGGCATCTGGTTTACCACAGTGGAACAGGATGCTGTACTAGATGGGCCTTTGGTCTGATCTGCCAGGTTGTTACATTCGAAAGAAGCCAACTTCAAACCATGGTTTATGAAGCTGGTTGGTTTATTTTATTTTAGGCCACAATCTCTGGTTCGTACAACAGTGACAAGCTTGAGATTATTTGAAAATGGAAATTATTGCTGGTGAAATCTTCCTGGCTGAGAAGAGGCAGGGATGAGAGAGTGCACAAGACTAAGCCTTCATTTGTGGTAGTTTTAACTTGTGCACAAAGTGCTAAAGCATAGTTTAGTGTTACATGTGAGAGGGCCACTGTGTCAGACTGTAAATAGGAGCAAAGATGTTGTGTTGAGTTTATGGGAGGAGAAAATACCTATGGGAAACATCAATGAAATGGCTTTGTTGGGCAGAAAAGCAGAGTCGTCCAGATGTGTTATTTGGAAGGCCACAGATCTGTCTTGGGAACCTTTCTAGAAAACAAAGCTTATGGACAAAGCTTTCCTTGAAACTTCTAACTTTTAAAGAAAAATAAAGAATTAATCATAGCAGGCAAAGTATTAATACATTTGAAGACCCACCTGAGGTTCTACTCTATTCATTTTGTTTGGGCTTGTTTCATAATCTGCCAAAATAACTGCAGTACTTCAGTATAATTAAAATAGAGAATGTTGCAGAGAAACAATTGTGACATTTGATATCTATTTAAAATGTAAATGCTTTGTAGCAAGAGGCAGTTTTTAAAATCTCTGCATAGCATTAAGGTACAAATAATTTATTTCCCAAGAAGAAGAAGAAGAGAAGACTTGCCCTCTCCCAGGGATATAGTGTCTCCTTTCGCCGTCTGGGGTGAGCACACACATGCTGGGGTGTGTGTGTGCATGCTGGGAGTGAGTGGGGTGTGCCTAAAGCAAAATTGGTAACCCCACAAATTTTGGGCAGTGGCAGCAAAAATAGAATAAAACAAAAGTAGGCATGGTGCTGGGGTAGGCAGAGAGGTTCAAACCTCTCAACCCACCACCCTAATAGGACTGCAAATGGCCTCATTCCTGCAAATTGGGGTGGAGAGGGGACTAGCAGCCCACCTTCCTAGCTGATCTGCATGGGACTATGTCTCTTGTGCAATTGAGAATGTGCAAGCATGCATGAATGTGAAGTGGTCACACCTGCTTTTGGCCGCATCCACCATGTAGCTCCCAGAGGGTTGGCCAAGAGTGAATGTGGCACTTATGCCGGAAAAAGTTGGCCATCCCCGTTACAGATTATTTTTTTGTACAGTGTATTGAACTTCCTATTACCAAGTTCAGACAAAACTTGGATTCTGCCAGCTAGGTTTGCAAACCTCTTTGTGGTCTTCATGACAGTTCCATGATGTAACCAGTTGTTGTTCCTGCTGCGACAGCAGGAAGCAGGATTTCAGTGCTAGCCAGCTGGCCCATCAAGTGTTGTCAGTTGGCTTCCATCAGATGTTGTTAAATTTTCCATGAAGTCAAGAATGCCTTGTCCGCATGCTTGGTTGCAGTCTGTGCTAAGGATGGAGAGTCCACAAATTGGTTTGCTATAGACTCTGTCACAAGCATCCTTGCCCTGTCTGGTGAGTGTGACAATGAACATGACAGGGATGAACCCATTTTCCCAACTTGGAGCTTGGGAGAAGGGGCATGGGGCTTGTCCCTACGATTGCACTTAGCTTTGGAAGAGTTCACAACCAAAATCCGTGAAATCCTGGTTAGCCTGTTTTTTTTAATGGACTGTGGCAATAATATATGCCACAAATGCTTAGAACAGTGTTTCTCAAACTTGGGTCCTTGGACCACAACTCCCATCATCCCTGACCACTGGTCCTGCTAGCTAGGGATGATGGGAGTTGTAGTCCAACAACAACCAAGGACCCAAGTTTGAGAAACACTGGCTTAAGAGTTGACCATGAGTTGTCATAACTTTCTCTGTTTTGTTATTAAAACTACATATGGCTATTATCTGACTGGTCAGATGCCAACATTAGTGGGAAGGCAAAGTTGTCAGATATTGGAACCTGACTCCTGTGTCCTGAACTCTGCCCCCTGGAGCACACAGTCTTGTTGCTTAAATCAAATGGCTGGGAAGAAAAACCTGGACGTGTCTGAAGTTTATGGGTGGGATCTGTACCATTTTACATTGCACACAGGTGCCCGACTTCAACATGCCTCTCTTCTGCAGGTCAGGAAGTAGTGAGTGGAGCTGAGGAGAGAACAATAGGGACCAATGGAAAATGGAGAAATATTGTTTTAATTGCAATAGACTTTTCTGTGGGGGGGGGAGGCAAAGTTATTTGTCTGGTTCTAATTCATATTGCTTCATATGAATTGCTAAACTTGAGATCGCAAGTCACATATTTTGGGGTTTTGTTCTTGCTACAAAATTCTCTGTCTCTGATTTTCAATCGCTTATTACAGGGTTGGTGAACCCAGGAGCCTTGAGATGGTCTTGGGCTGGCATGGCCAGACAACAGGGGGCCTGGGCCTGGGAGTTGGAGTGCGGCAACAACTGTAGGGCCACAGGTTCTCCAGCCTCGTCCTACAATGTTCCTTCCAGAGGGGGAAAGTGTTGGTTGGCCTGCTGTTGGAAAAATAGCAAGTGGGGCCTCTTAAGGCTGGTATGGTGGCCATCCACAGACCCCAGAGTGTACCATTCACAAATCTAAAACTACCATAGAGATACCAACAATTTCAAAAGTAGGGGGTCCATAGCTTGGCTTTTAAAAAACAGGGGGCTTACAGTACTTGGCTGATTAGGAACTACTGGGCTAGTATATTCATTGTTGCGTAAGCTTTTGCCAGCGCACTTCATCAAATACATGAAGTGGGCAGATGTACAAGAAAACGGGTTGTGGGGTGTGTGTTTTAAACCGAGCGAGGTTTGAAAAACAGTGAGTGCTGCTGATTTCAGTGGGGTAGTTGTTTACTATATGTATATATTTCATGATTTTATTATAACCCACTCTGGAAAAGCTTTTCCAGGGAATGGCAGGGTAGAAAAGACTTTTTAAAAAAGAAAAGAAAAAAGTCCAGGAATGCAAGAGGAGCATGTGTGCTCACAGTATCATGTGGAACACTCTGTGCATCCGATAAAATGGGGTTTTATTTATTTATATATTAACCCACCGCACCCTCACAAAAGCGTGCCACAATAAATCTATTGAGTCTTGAAGGTACTGCAAGGGTACTGTTTTTAAGGGATTACTGCATGTCAAGAAGTATTCTCCACCCAGCTCTGTAACCAGCCAAATTCATGCATGGGTGGGGCGGGTTTTCCACCAATTTGACTGCGCCGCAGTAAAAACAACAAAGACTCCTGCGGTACCTTGTGGTGCCACAATAATCTGGTTGTTGTTTATTGTTGTTGCTGCTGCTGATGAGAGAGAGAGAGAGAGAGAGAGAGACTTTCCTCACAAACTGTGACACGGTGTGTCCAATAATAGTCCATCTGGCTTAGGGCTCATATCGTGGTTTTTAAGTGCAAGTTATTTCAGAGAAAAGTGTTGAGTAGGAAGGTCTGTGCTTCCAATCCTTGTTTCCAATTTTTGGCAGGCAAATGTCTTTGGGGATTGAAGCTCTTGGCAAACCTGGTTTGATCCTATTCTCTATGAAGTTTGACATTCTAAATAGAAGAGCCTGCCAACCAACCTTGATGCTTGTTTTATCCAAGGTCACAGCTGGGGTCGCCATGGGGAAAGGACTTTTGCATGTGCATGCTGAGTTCTTTTTCTTTCTTCCTTTTTTGAGTGGTTTGATGCTTTCCCTGCTATTCTCTGTGCTTTGGTCCAGGAAGCCTATGCACTAAGCAGCTAATTATACCTTTATCAGTGCTACCCTTGGGGCTATTAAGTGTGCACTACAGTCCTTGAACTTCTGGTCTTTCTTGTTTGCTTCTTGGATTATTATTATTTTTTGGGGGGTCATTATGGAGGATTTGAAGAAAAAACAAAAAACACACCACCTCCAAAACCATTATGTACGATAGTTACGTTCCTCAGCCTGCTTATTGTTGCTATGAAAATATTATTAAACTGATTGGGTGCAGCAATGGCTCACTGAAGCCCTCTTCGGGCTCTGGGGAGGGGCTCCTTGTGAGCCACAAGGACTTTCCAGCTCTCTTCCTCCATTTCAGCTTAGAATTAGTTATTGATTTCCCGGTGCTGCGCGTATACGCTGCCACGTATGAGTCGATCGTGAGCAAGTGGGGGGCGGGTGCCAGTGGTAGAAGAGCCCATGGAAACTGAGCATCTTTGATGGTGACCTGTTTAGTAATAGGGCCCATCTGCACTATACATTTAAAGCAGTATCATAGCACTTGTCATGGCTTCTGTGGGAATGTTGATATATTGATTATTAATATCTTTCCTAAATTGCACTAGCGAGTTTCTTCACTTAGCAGAGTGTATTCCCCCTTTACATGGCAGAAAACTGGTTGCAGACTTGTGTGAGCCTCTTAAGACAATAAACCATTCAACCTGGCTTGCCCAGATTGAGATATGTTCTATTATTCCTGGTAAGACCCCTTTGACCCCCCTAAAAGAATAAAGACACAACAGTCTTATTCATAAGTAACAAAAAGTAGTTTTACTCACAATCAGGCAGAGCACAGTGTGATCCCTGAAGGCAGGCTTTAGGCTTAAAGTTACAAACATGTACAAACAGGTTTAGCCCATATGGGAGATAACCTAGGGGTGAATCAGTACAGTCCAGGTGAATCAGGAAGTTCTCAGGATGAAAGAGAAGACTGAAGAGAGGGAGGTGGCTGCATGACTTGGCCTTTTACCAGGTCTGGAAAGGTCACGCCTACCTACCAGTCACATGCAAGAAGGATGCTCCAGACCAGGTGTAACAGGAAGTTCAACTGGCTGGACCAAACATTCCCTTGCATGTCCACTCTCTAGCAAAACAAGGAATGTTGTATTTGACTGCTCCCAGTGGATTACATCCCACCTCTTCCCCCAAAGAATCATGGGAACTGTAGTATTTTTAAAGAATGAAAGAAAATGGACACAGTCCTGGGGTGGGTGGAGAGGTTTCAGCCTCCCATCCCAGCACTTTGATGGGGATCCAGATTGCTCCCTCTCCAGTCATGAGATTTATTAATTGATGATCAGGGAACAGAGAGAGATCTTTGCGTATCATGTGAGAATGTGGGTGGTCATGTCCACTTTTGACTGTACCCATTGCTGGCCTGCAGCCCCTAGAAAGTTGGCGAAGGTTTTTTGCTATTGGGCCAAAAAATGGTTAACCACCCCTGCTCAATGTAAAAAAGGAAGAAGCATTGGAACCCCCCCGCCCCGGCAATGCAACTAGCATGCTATGTTAGATTTCTCTTCACCCCGAAAATAGCATGGCACCTTGCCATAAAATTTAAGGCAGTTATTTCGCCCTACCTTTCCCACCCCCCTCTTTCTTTCTCGGAGCTACTGTCCCTTGTTGACAAAATTTCAGACTTAATGTACCCCTGGAAAGAGTCCTCAGATACAAAAGCTATTGTGTAAACAGAATAGGCGAAAGAAAATAATTGAAGCTGGAAGGCCATTGGCCTAATGAGCTCAATACAAGGGTTGTACTCCAGTCCGGTCCTAAACAATGAGAGATTCTAGTTGAACCTCCTTTGGCTAGAGTCACTGAAACGGTCCCAAGCAGCCTTACTTGGAGAGCTCTTCAAAGAGCTCTTATTAATCAAGGATGCTTTAGGCCTAGATGTCCACAGTCAGGCTTTAAAGGACAAAATGCAGAACAGTACCCGTTATTGTCCCCCGGCTCCTGCTCCTGCTTCTTGGGGGAATCTTTGCAGAAGTGTTGCATAACCCATTGGCAGAGAGTTATGGCCGACTCTTGAAAATCTGACCAAATCTGATTGGCAAGGGGTAGCCAACATGGTGGATTCCCGGCTCCCATCAGCCCCAGCAAGCATAGCCAATGGGAAGGAATTACGTAGTCTGGCAAAATCTGCAGGGCACAATGTTGACAAGCCCTGGGATATAGCATTTATCTGCGTCAGGTCAGCATCTCCTCCCCCCCCCACCTGCAAGCATTCTCTGCTTCAAGAGGTTCCTCTGTTATAGGTTGTGCCACAGCCACTTAAAACTTACTCCTATAATCTACTTTGGTATTCTTAAGGTTCTTTCCACAGTTTGAATTCTCAGGAAGACAAATACTGCTGTGTTCAGCTAACAAATCACTAGATTCATGCAGCCTCCAGCTAATACCATACGAAGTCATAAAGGGATAGGAAGGATGGGAAAACCAGCCCAGTTGTTCTCCGGAAGCAGTGGCTATAGATATTGGGGTGGTTTTCTCACATCGGCCCAACCATCCTGAACATACGTGAACTTCTTGTGAGAAATGAAGGGATAGCTCCCAGGGCAGTTTCTGCCTTGACACAAAGCCCTTGTTTGTGGTCTGGTGACTATCAAAGGGGTCCAGGTAGTTGGATGTTGTAATACACAGGAAAGCTTCATAATGTAAGGTGCAGGCCAAAATTAATGGTTAAGATATTTGAGGTCCAGCTGTTGGCAGTAGGCTTTGAGATGTTCTTTTTGTTTATTTATAGTTGCGCAATTGACTGTTGTCTTTTTAAAACAACAACAGTTTTTTATTGGTTATATATAATTACAAAAGCACTGCCATTTGGCAGTAAACCGTCTTCAAAAGCACCTAAAATAATTATAGGTACTTTAAACTCAGTGAATAATAATAGTCAGGCATGCCGTGTAAAGTCCATAAAGTACGGTCCAGAGTAAAATACATAATGTGCTGACTTAAGCCAATATGATACTAACAAAATGACCCTCTTTCTGTTAAAAGTAATAGGGTGGTCCTCTCAGTATACCTAACATAACACAAAATCAACAAAGGGATCCTCTATAAAAGTCTGCATCATCCACATCCATTGATTTGCCGGCATCTGGCATCGAGCATGCTCTCTCACATTAGTTTATGTCACCAAATCATATCATGTACTAATAAATTAGTCTTCTGTGCTTTGACCTCCTATGACTCACATTTTTTAATGTCTGTTCTTCCATTATTGCTGTTTCCCAAGCCATCTGTACCAGTAGGTAAGATTAGCATTTGAAGGATTCTTCTAGAAATGTGCCATAGCTGATCTTGCAGCCTGCAATAAATGACTACTTAAGTCAATATTGTGCAGATTCCTATTTCTCTGCCTCTCTCTCAATTGTGTGTGTGTGTGTGTGTGTGTGTGTGTGTGTGTAGTTGTTAGATGATTTTGTCTATGACAGGGGTGGGGAACCTGTGTCTTCTCCATATGATATTCGACTCCAGCTCCCATCATCCTTAACAATTGGACCTGCTGGCTAGGGCTGATGGGACTTGGAGTTTAACAGCAGCTGGAGGACTACAAGTTATGCATCCCTGACCCATAGTGTTAATATCTAGATATGGGCAGCTGCATTGAACTTTAAAGTTTTATCTAAGCCTGCTGTACAACCTTAATACAGTGGGTGAGACTGGCTGGGGCTGATGGGAGTTGTAGTCCAGATTTTCTGGAGGGCACCATGTTAGGGATGGCTGGCCTAATGACTGTGTTATGAGCCTCATTTTTTCTAATAAGAAAGCCCTTTACCCTTCAAGTTACATTTCCCGAACTCTTATAACCCACAAGTACCATCTGCATCATCCCTGTGTGGAGTACTGATACACTCATCCACCACCATTTTGATGTTTTTGCCCACTTGTCTAGTGCTCTGGGACTTCGTTTTGTGTCTTAGGATTCAGCGAGGGACGTTTGTGCAGCGTTGGTATTATTTAAAGAAACAGTCTTTTTAGAGAGGGTATACATTATCTTTAAGTCAAGCCTTCCCGAATCTGGTGCGTTCCAGATACTTTGGACTGCAGCTCCCACCAGCTCTAGCCAGCATGGCCAATGGTCAGAGATGACAAGAGGTATAGTCCCAACACATTTGGAACTCACCAGGGCAGGGCAGGCTGTTTTGAATAGACAACATACAGGCCATGACTGCTGGAGGAGTTTTGTCATTTCTCTGACAGTCGGGGCTCTTTCTATAAAAAAAGGGAAAAGAGAACTGCAGCAATGATGACCTAGAAATACAGTCTGTGAGGAAAGACACTTTACTGACACTCTGCTCTTCAGATAAAAGTCAATTAGGATGTATTATTGTACTGTATTGTTTTTGTACTGGGTGATGCCTGTAGGTTTGCCCTGATTGTTTACTTGGCAAGAGATGTGCTTTACAGCTGTCTGATTACCCCCCCCCCGCCGGCCGACCTTCTCTTTTGAACTGAGCTTGACCTGTTTTCCTTCAAGTATGCCCTACTTTCTATACATCCAGGAGCTTCAGATGTTATCATTAGGCAGATTATTTTTCTTTACATTAAAAGGCACCTGCAAATAATAGTTTTTAGGATGTGGAGACTCCCCGCCCCCATTTTTTTTAAACCATGCAAGTGGTACTTTTCTAGCCACATAAGCAGGGCCACATGGAAGACTGAAGTGGAAGGGCTGTGGGGGTTGTGGTGTGTGTCTGCCAGAATTAATGGAGGGAGAGAGAGAGTGAGTGAGTGAGTGTGTGTGTACTGTATTGGAATATGTGTGAGCAAAGATTCATTTCATTATGGAGGGGGAAGGGAACATAGAGCCTGCAGCTGCTGGTAAAGTGATACAGAAGAGTTGGCAGCATTGTCATGGGGCGGGGGGGACCTCCAGTATGTGCTTCCTCTGCCTCTCTTTAAAAGTCCTGTTTGAAAACACAGGAGTTTTTGAAGACACTGACACTTAGAGGAGGGACTGCATTTCTGTGTTAGGGCAGAGGACGAATGAAGCGCTCTGCCTTGCTTCAACCAACCTGTTCACTTGCTTGCATGGAATTCCTTTTCCCTATACCTGCCGGACTGATGCTTGAATACAAGGCTGCGTTAGAAACAGATGCATAATAATAATAATAATAATAGTCATGCTTATAATTTATAATAATATATTAATTAGCTGCCATTCACCCTAAGGTCCCAGGGCAGTTCACAGAATAAAATACAGGATAAAAACAAGTAAATAATTAAAACAAAACAGCAAAACAATAATCACCCCTTCCCACAGACACATTTTAAAGGCCTGGTTGAAGGGGAACATTTTTGCCTGGCACCTAAAATATATACAGTGGTACCTCGGGTTACATACTCTTCAGGTTACATACGCTTCAGGTTACAGACTCCGCTAACCCAGAAATAATGCTTCAGGTTAAGAACTTTGCTTCAGGATGAGAACAGAAATCATGCTCCAGTGGCGCGGCGGCAGCAGGAGGCCCCATTAGCTAAAGTGGTGCTTCAGCTTAAGAACAGTTTCAGGTTAAGTACGGACCTCCGGAACGAATTAAGTACTTAACCCGAGGTACCACTGTATAATGAACCTCCATCTGGCATCAGTGGAGACCTTGCAGATACCAGATTTCTTAGGACACTTTGGCAACATGCATGACCACTATCTTTGGTAGCAGTTTTAAGGCTGCAGTTGTATACACCAAGGAGAGGGAACCTCTGGCCCCTGTCATTGCTGGACTCCATCGCCCATCATCCCTGATTGTTGGCCATGCTGGCTGGAGCTGAAGGGACTAAAGAGTCCAACAGCATCTGAAGGAACACAGGTTCCCCATTCCTGGTATACATACTAACCTGGGAATAAGTCCCATTGAAATCTACGGGGTACACTTCTGAGTAACACTGTACAGGGCTGCACAGTTAGTGCATTCAAACATAGAAGTTATGTTGTGGTAATTACATGAATAATTTTATTAGGCGGCCAGGATATGGGTAGCATTCTGGAGGACTGCATGTTGAAACTCTTGACAGTGCGGTATATTTCTCAAAGCAGCTACTAAAAAACATGAAGCTGGCTTCAGGGAGTTATCCAGACTTGCTTTCTCATCCAGACTTGCCCTGTGCTATCACCAATATGCAAAACCTCGCTGTCACTTGCTCTGTGTATCTGATGCGCGCACAGACAGAACAGGAGGCGACTGCTTCTGTGGTTCTTTCTCAAGCGTTTTTTCTCTTTCTTTTGGTCGTGTCTGATTTCAGCAGACAGCACCCATGGCAAAGTATCCGTCTCTCCATACAGTTGACAGCCAGAAATCCATATTATAATTTGTTGACTGCATTTTTGTTGTTGAACAAAATGTGTGTTTCTTTTTTGTTTGCCTACGTGTGTTTTTTCCCCTTAGCAGTTGATGCCCCGTATAACAGGATTAGCTCCTTTTTCTTCTTTGGGGCAGACTGCAGTGCTGTGTAAGACATGAGAATAGTTGCAAGGAATGGTTGCAAGGGAACAGATAGATAAATTACTACTTTTTAAAAAAAGCACACACAACATGACAGCTTTAAGTATCTCAGCTGGGACTTTATGCTGTTTGGCTGTTTGCTTTCTTCCTAGTTTGCCTCTAACCTTTCCCTCTTTTAAAATTTTCTTTCAGGATGGACTGCTGAACAGAGAAGCATCACAGACCTGGTCATACAGCACGGCTGGTCCGCTCCCAGCTTTATTTATCTATTACTAGTTATTTTGAATTGAACTTTTAATAACCTGCCAGCTGCTCTTCAGACACACATGGTGCATTGTTGCCATTCCCAGAATCACGTCTTTGAAATCCAGGCCCTTGGTAACCTTCATCGAACAAAGAGGCGACCTAGAGGAGACATCTGCAGCAGGACTTTTCAAACCTGCTGCACTCTACCTTCTCCACTGGCTGTGCTGTTTTCCTAGCACAACATGGAGCCCACCATGGAGGGTTGCTTGGTCCAGGTTCTGCAGAAGGATGTTGGGAAGAGACTTCAGGTTGGCCAAGAACTGATAGACTATTTCTCAGATAAACAGAAATCTGCCGATCTGGAACATGATCAGACCATGCTGGATAAAATGGTTGATGGCCTTGCTACCTCGTGGGTAAATTCCAGCAATTATAAGGTAAGACTGATGTGCAGAGATGGGATTGCTAAGGTCAAATGTTGCTTCAACTCTGGCTGGTTTGTTCGCGCAGTCAACAGTTATGGAACAGAGACATCACTCTTTGCTTTATAGCTTGCAAATCCTCTTGATCCCGTACATTTCTTGGTGATCTGTAGCCGATGTAACAGCAAGTTTGTAATTTTGTGGCGTTTCGTTTCCGAAAATGTATACAACCCACACTGCAGAACTCAAAACAAATTAAAACGAAAAATTAGCCCCCCCCCACACTTTTTACTGATGGGAATGAAAACAAGATCTTCATTACTGGGTTGGATCAGGGTCCTTGCTTGTAACGGGGAATATCTGCTGGATTTTCAAGCTCTTTTAGAGATACCCTGTTGCAACAAACATCAATACTTGTAGGAAAGTTGACTTGGAAAGAGCCTATGCATGAGGGCATAATTTAATAATGCAAGAAATACAGGAACATCAGCCCTGTGTCACACTCTCTCACCCCACCCCCTTCCAAAATGTGCAGAATAACTTGCTGTGGTCCTTTTCCTGGTGTTATTACATGGTGGGGTTTTTAGACACTGCTTTAATTGTGCTACACATTATGGAAGGGCCAGCTATTTTTAGTGGCAGCTTGGTATAATCATCCTAACCCCGCATTCGCCAGCTTGGTGTCCCCCAGGTGTTTTGGATTACAATTCCCATCAGTTATATTGACTAGGGATGATGGGAGTTGTAGTCCAAAACATCTGGAGGGCACCAGGTTGGCAAAGGGTATTCTACCCTAATCAGCATTCTTCAAGGCCTTCTGCGGGTCTTTCCCATCCCCACTGCAGTTTATTTTAACTGGAAATATTGGGGCTTAGACCCAAGGCTTTCTGCCTTCAAAGCTTTCTGCCTTCTACCACTGAGCTATTACCCCATTTAATGTTGACTAAATACTTGAAATTCACAGCTGAATCTTCTGGAGTGTCAGTTTGTTTTATCTGAGATATTGTCTGAAATAGTTTCATTAGCAGGAGCTGTGGCCTGACTTCTGCACATCAGCAGTACAGTTCCAGGTCAAATGGGGTTCTAGATTGTCTACATTTCACATACCCTACTTTTCACCCATCAGAAGATGATGGTTATCTGGCCAAATGTTTAAGCCAGCCTTGCCCACGTTGGTGCCCTCTAAATGTTGGATTCTCACTCCCATCAGCTTCTGCCAGTATGGTCAGTGGTCAAGGAATGATGGAAGTTGTAGTCTAGTGTTATCTGGAGAGAAAGTGGGCATGGGGAAAGCTGCTGTGAATGGCTTTCAACATGGAGCTAACCAGTTACATCATAAGCCCAAGAGTAGTTCAGAAAGAATATAACAGGTGGAAAAAGTGTAACTTTGGGGCTGGTTGTTGTTCATTGTTACCTCAGTGGAGAGATAACAGGATGTGGATCTTTAAGTATTGGTCACTGCCGTATGGGCCCTATATATAACTTCTTGGTTATCTAACTCCTGGTGGCAAGTGCTACAGTTGTTCACATGTGGGTAGTTTCAATGAAGCCTTAAATAGTCATTATGAAGGGAACATGATTTAGAGATGGTATCATAGTTAAAAGATATTGTGATAACAAAGAACATTATAAGTAGCCCCTTTCTTCTATCATAAATTGGAAACTGGGGCTCTCCTCTCTTGAGTTGAGAAAATCTTTTGAGGATGTTCAACCCTGAAGGCTGAAGAGAGGTAGCCATAGACTACCTCTCCATGCTTATCCTAATCTGTGACAGTGACAGAGGGTGTAAGGAATATCTAAAGCGGAGGAGGGTTAATGCTGACTAATATTTGGATTCTGTGTTTAACTAAATGATGCAAAATTAAAATAGGGGTGTTGTAGGAAACGAAATTGTTCCATTTGTGCAAGGACTTCATTTGCACAGCAGTACTTCCCCCTGTTCTCCACCAAGGCAGATTTACAGGGAGTGTGGCAGGAGAGGAGAGGAGAGGGAAGGGAAGTTCTGTTGCACAACCAGAAGTCTTTACTCAAATTGGATGGCTTCATTGGATACAACCTATGCATTTTAGCTGCCCCAAATTACCTTGTGAAGCGGTCCTTAGAAGTGTATCACTATAAACTACAGTCGTATCTTGGATCCCAAACTCCTTGCGAGTCAAATGTTTTGGCTCGCCAAACTGAACGTCCAACACGGCTTCCAATTGGCTTCCTGCAGCTAATCAGAAGCCGCACTTTGGTTTCTGAACGTTTTGGAAGTCGAACCGAGTTCCGGAACAGGTTCCGTTCGACAACCAAGGTACAACTGTACTCTTAATTCAACACTTCTGATTAAGCTGGCAGGAAAGAGTGCATTAGACAGATACTGTTTGAAAGAGACTGGCAGGAAATGAAAAGCAACAGCTGATGATAAAACAGAGCTAGGAGAATTATTTCAAATTCCTTGGATTAATTGTAGCCTATCACACAGAGGGTGGTTGCGAGGACAAATGCAGAAGAGACGAGAAAGCACTCTGAAATTTATAGTTCTACTGAATTCATTTCTAGAGCCACACCTTTGAAAATATCACATACATGTAAATCTACATAATTTGATAACAGCATTTGATAACAGCATTTTTTCCAAATCATATATTTCCCCCCTCCCCCTTCTTACATGCTCCTTATTATTTTGGTGCTTTGGATATATATGTAGAGACCTGGGATAAAAAGACTTTGGTTATGGCAATCCTAATTAACTTCTTTCCTCTTTGGCCTTCTCTGAAAGTATTCTGGTTGTTCTAAGGCTCTGTCATTTTCTTTAGCTTGCCCCCTCATACCCTCATGCCAGTCTTTGCTTGCCCTTTCCCATCACTTTCAACTTAGTAACATGCACCCTTTCTTTTTTTACACTACGTTCTCCCTTAACCACACCACAGTTGGGTCAGGGCTGTTCTGTGCCTGCACCTACCGATGCAGCTGGTGATACTGTGCTATAGTTGTGCATAAGCTATGCGCCGTTCCCCAAGATGGCTCTCACAGCCATGTTTTTCACTCCTTTGTGGCCTCATCTCATCATACTTTGGTAATGTAGGAATGCAGAGAGGATCTGGGACACGGGACAGAGAGGATCAAGTGGATAAATAGTAATAACAAATGCTCTTCCCTCTCTGCCTCTGCCCCCCCCCCCCCCATTCTGGATTCTGATGATGAATTTGTTCTCTGCAACACGAGATGCTACTAATGCCCCATGAATGGTGGGGGTTGGCGGAGAACGTAAATACAGACAGAAGCAGATTGACATCTGCAATGTTTGTTATGGGGCATTGCTGGAGGTTTATTTTGCTTTGTATAATTGAGGGGTGGAACAGATGGCTTGAACTTAGTTTAAAGTGGGGTGTCTGTTAAAATTACTCATAAGTAGCAATCATCATTCAGCTGCTTTAAGAAGCATACATGCTTTCTGAAGCATGCTTCTTGTTCTGTTGAAGTTCAGTGGAGGAAAGGAAACATGGAATTAGCTTGATGATGATGATGATGATGATGTGAAATGGACAGTGTTAACGTGCTCTTCCACTAAAGCAAGCTATATGATCTATGAACTTGATGAGACTTAGGAAGGAAGGTGGAATCAATGTTGACAGCTAAATAGGACTTACAGTGGTACCTCAGGTTACATATGCTTCAGGTTACAGACTCTGCTAACCCAGAAATAGTGCTTCAGGTTAAGAACTTTGCTTCAGGATGAGAACACAAATCGTGCTCCGGCAGCAGGAGGCCCCATTAGCTAAAGTGGTGCTTCGGGTTAAGAACAGTTTCAGGTTAAGAACGGATTTCCGGAACGAATTAAGTACTTAACCCGAGGTACCACTGTATTTGTTGTGTAAGTTTGAATGGATGCTCTTTTTTATAGCACTCTAATTATTCCAAAGTATCACAATCTAATAGGACATGGTAAAGGCCCACTATTCCAGTTGCCCTTCAATTGGACTCCAGTCTCACAAGTCTTGTAACTCCTTTTGCCAACAGTTGTAATATAAATAAATGTAATTTATTTAAGGTCCGCTAACAGGGGGGGGAACCAAGTTACAGAATATAAAACACATAAATTTGTTGAATGGCATGGGAGGGAAGCATAACTGTCAACGTGAAATAGATATATTTAGGTATTTTGCCCTGGGAATTAAAAATTGGAGCTCTCTGTTGGAACAATCAGAAGAGACTTTGGAGATCGACCAGTGAAAGTCTGTGTAATGGGGTAAATCAGATTTTCTCTAGTCCCTCCTGATACAAAACCAACAGGTGTGATACCACTAATGCTCAGTAGTTTGTGGGTCAGATGTTAATATGACCAACCAAACACAGCCGCTGTGTTGGGCTGTGTTGCTTTTGTTTATATATGAATATTTTAATGAGTAAAAAATAATGTTTGTCAATAATCAGGTTAGAAAGTCAAGGTTTGCCTTGTTGACTTAAGTTATTTTCACTTTTCCCACTTTTGTGGCATGAGCAAATCTTTGCATGGGGGAGACAGAGGTTAGGTCAGGTGAGAAGTTCCCGG